CGCAACACCCCCCGAGACACCGCCGTCAACTCCAGCTTTCCTCTTCCCACCGCCCATAGACCGGTTTACAACACCACCGGCTGAGGAACCTCCGCCGGATGTAGCCGCCATTGTCCCACCCGTTTTTGCCCTCCCACCGCCTAGCGAATCCACGTCAGCACCGCCGTTCATCCCTTCGCCACCGCAAGAACTCCCACCGGTGGAAAACTTCCCACCGGAGATAGTCATCGGACAACCACTGATTCCGCCTCCCATTGACCAGTCAACGCCGGCGTCGCCTTTGATTCCCATATTCTTACCACCGCCGGTGGAAGAACTCCCGCCTGATACATCCACCGAGTCACCGCCTAACATCCCGGACTTCGTCTTACCGCCGTCGATTGATCCATCAACTCCCTCGTCGCCGTTCTTACCCATAATTTTCCCGCCACCAGCCCAAGATTTCCCTCCAATTTCCACTTCGCCGCCTTCCGTACAGGACCAGCCACCGGTCGTTCCGGTGTTCACCACTCCGCCGGCTTTCGGAGATTTCCCGCCAATTTTCTCTACATCTCCATCCGTACAGGATCCGCCGCCGATAGTCCCGGTGTTCTCCACGCCTCCATCTTTCGGAGATTTCCCGCCAATTTTCACGTCACCGCCGTCCGTACAGGATCCGCCACCCATAGTTCCGATATTCTCCGCACCACCAGTAATCGGGGATCTTCCGCCGCAAATTCCGGTATTCTCGACGCCGCCGCAGCTTACAAATCCATGGCTACCGCCGGAGCAGCCTCCGGTGACGTCATTTGCTCCACCGATCGAAACGATACCGACCATACCGGAGAACCCATTCCCGACCCCGGAGACGGGATTCAATCTTCCGCCGCAAATTCCGGTGTCATCGACGCCGTTGGTTCAGCTTCCTCCGCCGACGTGGGACGCTCCTCCTTTTAATCGTTAGTTTCCTATTTTATTTTTCTCGTCTTTTTCCCATTTACTTTTTTTTCTCCCTTCAAATGTAATCTAAAAAAAACCATAATAAGTTGTAATGGCACTCCTCCATGCTCACTTTTGTACAAAATGTGTCCAACTTAGATTCTGTCACATTTGCATAAATTTATAAGAAATTGGAATAAATCATATGTGAAATTCCTAAACAATGTTTCCCGGGTCCAAATATGATGAAAAAAAATGTAATCTAAAGGTACCAAATTTGTAAGGTAACAGCCTCAAAAAAATGGAGCTTGATGGTTTTTATAGGGACTTGGAAAATGGGTAATGATTTTCTCGAGTAATAGAGAAATGCTCGAATTATTTAAATTGAGAAATATCTGGAATTTATGAGGAGTGAGGAGTTAACAAGTGTAAAAAGACAACGATGGTGGAGTTGATGTGGATATGGAGATCTAGTTCCCCATTGGTCAGAAATCTATCCACGACAGCTTCCCAGATTTCCCCTCTAGATTTTCATCACCCTCTTGTCTCCCTCTAAAAATCCTCCTTTTGATTCTGTTACTCCGAAACACACACTCCTCGAGGAACCCAGAAGAGAGAGAGAGAGAGAGAGAGAGAGAGAGAGAGAGAGAGAGAGATCATGGCTATGGCGGTCTCTGGCGCTGTGCTTAGTGGGCTTGGGTCGTCGTTTCTCTGCGGTGGGAGGAGGAGCGCCACCGCATTGGCCGGCGGAGTCAGCGGCGGAGCGGCCAGAGTTGGTCGGAAAACTTTCGTAGTCGTGGCGGCGGCGGCTGCTCAGCCCAAGAAGTCTTGGATTCCCGCCGTCAAAGGCGGCGGTAACTTCGTCGACCCCGAGTGGCTCGATGGCTCGTAAGTCCTTCCATCCAAACCCTCTACCTTCTGAAGAATGCCCAATAAAATAAATTCGGAAAAATCGGACCTTTACATAATCTCTCCGTGGGCATATGATGTGAATATCATAAGATTCTGAGTCCCTGCTTCAAACGAATCTTACAGACATAAATTTCGAATCTTTATGGATACCCAATTCATAATCAGAAACAAAGAATGACAAAAGAATTCCATAATCTCTGAGTTTCTGTCTTTTATGAACTTTACAGACTACCCGGCGATTACGGGTTCGACCCGTTGGGTCTAGGAAAAGACCCAGCGTTTCTGAAATGGTACAGAGAAGCAGAACTGATCCACGGTCGGTGGGCCATGGCTGCGGTGGTCGGAATCTTCGTCGGCCAGGCATGGAGTGGCGTCCCGTGGTTCGAAGCCGGTGCCGATCCGGCCGCGATCGCGCCGTTCTCATTCGGGTCTCTCCTCGGAACCCAATTGCTCCTCATGGGTTGGGTGGAGAGCAAACGATGGGTCGATTTCTTCAACCCGGACTCTCAGTCCATCGATTGGGCCACGCCGTGGTCACGGACAGCGGGGAATTTCGCGAACGCGACCGGCGAACAGGGATATCCCGGCGGGAAGTTCTTCGATCCGTTGGGTCTCGCCGGAAAAATCCGAGACGGCGTCTACGTGCCAGACACGGAGAAGCTGGAGAGGCTCAAACTGGCGGAGATCAAGCACGCGAGGCTCGCAATGCTTGCCATGTTGATATTTTACTTTGAGGCTGGGCAGGGGAAAACGCCGCTCGGTGCTCTTGGTTTGTGAAAAAACGGCACGGTGTTTGCTTTGCTTTTGTAGATAAACCAAAAGGATTGTTCCTTCTTAGTTCTTACCACGCCCAATCGTTTTCGATGAAAAATCGTATTATGATGAGAAAATTCCAAAACAATATCTAAATTTCTCAATTTTGATAAAATAATATATAAATTTTATTTTTTATCAAATAAAATTTTTAATTTTATTTTTCAATTAAAAATAAATTTAAATTTTATAATTTTTGTTATTTTTAAACTTATTATTTTGATTATATTTAACACGTCATCATCTATATATCAGGTTATATCAATAATAGATTTAAAAAATGATAAAAATTATAAAATTCAGATTTATTTTTTATTTAAAAATAAAATTAGATTTTATTTTGATAAAAAATAAAATTTAGATTTTATTTTGATAAATATTTTATTTTGTCAAAATTGAAAATTACAAATTATTGTTTTGAGGTTTCTCTATTATTATTGCTTTAAATGGCGCGACATTGTAAGATGGTCAATGGATGAGTTAGACAGCATGATAATTTTGAATTCGTGTTTTCTCGCAAAAATAAATAAGTCATTATGACACATACTAATGTTTGGTTATTTCGTATTCGTATATTTTAGAAAAACTATAACCGTAATTTTAGATTTTATTAATAAAAATATCATTTTTAAAATACAGTATTGTTTTCCAATTTTATTTTATTCGGTTCCGTTCATTTATAATTTTTTGGATCTTGTAAGAATAATAACCAATTTATTTTATGTCGAATTCATTTTGTTAATTATGTGTTATTTGATCCCAATCATACCGGTTATTAACCGAATTGTCCACTTCTAACACTTACCTCTCATAATCCATAAAAGACTCATAATCCATAAAAAAAAAAAGTCAACAAACCCTGGCATTATAATATAAATATCTCATAATCCATAAAAAGTCAACTAAATATTACATTATATTATTTCATATGTTTGCTGAGGACCTGAATGAGTCTGCATCCTGCAATGATGTAATAGAGTATTATTCTTCGTCAAGAAAATTGTGTATCAAAACATCCAGGACAAGTCTTGTCTGAAAGAGACAGACCTGGCAGCTCCATGAACGCCTCTTTCCGAAACCTGGGGACAATCTTCAACGACGATCAAATCCAGTTTATGAGACCCGACAAGGGGCCTTAATCCCTCGTCCGAGATCCCCAAACACTTTACCAGTTTCAAGCCGGTGAGCCGTGGAAACTGGCTCACCAGTATCAGACCCTCGTCGCCCACTTCCTGGCACTGGACAAGCTCCAACATCTCCAGATTCTGCGCCGAACACAGAGCTTCCATGCCCGTGTCACTGAAGGAACACACGTGGTCGAGGGTTAGCTCTCGTATCGGGCAGGATTGTATCAGAGTGATTATCCCGTCGAGGGTGAAAGAGAATAGCGAGGGGAGCTCCCCGTCTGAGAACGAGATCTTGAAAGATTCGAGCTTTGAGCTGTTCTGGGCGATGGCTCTGAGGCTTTCGTCGGTTAACCTGAGGGTGATGTTGTTGAGAAGAGGCAGAGTGAAATCCGAGGGGACACGGAGTGAGATGCTTCTGAGATGATGTTTAGCCCTTTGGACCAACCCAACGATGTCTGAATCCCGAACACCGACACACATGTCCAGATGAAGCTTCTCCAAGTTCTTGCATCTGCTCAAAATGCAAGCTAGACCTCTACCTGGGTTGATGATGCAATTCGCCAGGCTGAGCTCGACAAGATTCTCACATGGAACCAGCTGTTTCTGCCACTTATCCACGGATAACCGATCATAAACCTTCATGTATCGGTAATTGGCATCAACCTCGAACTGCAGGCTCCGTATCTTCCTCCAGCTACGTCCCAGTTTCATCAGATCACCCTCCCCGATGGCCCTGCAGTTCTTGATGCAGAGTTCCTCCAGATTCTCAAGCTTCCCTAGATATTCCAACCACTCAACACTGGTCACATTTAGGCATCGGATAAGGTGGAGACTCGTAAGCTTCTTGCAACCAATGGCAAGAGACAATATGCCACACCCCGTGATTCTGGGCGTGAAATTCAACCTCATCGAGGAAAGCTTAGAACACGAAGACAGATAACGAAGGCCAACGTCAGTGATGAAGGTGCAGTAACTGAGGGTGAGCTCGGTAAGGGAATGGCAGTTGGCGGTTAGCACAAGAAGCCCGTTGTCGTCGAGTTGCTTTCCCAATTTGGACATCCAACCAGAGTATATGATCTCAACTCTGGACAGATTGGGAAACCTCGTGCAGAGAGAAGCCAAGGCTTCTTTCGCGGGAACAAGACCGCAACCAATACGTAGAGAATGTCTCTGTTCATTGTCTAGTGAGCAGAGACGCTTGCAAGACAGCGAAGCCGAGTTTCTGTCTCTGGTTTTCTGGAGTTTCCTGAGAATGTCCCAAACCAGATGGTCCGGCAATTCATCCATTTTCTCGCGCTACACAGTCAGTCCCTCCTGCACTCAGAGCACGAAAAGCTTCCGGGAATGAAAATGAGAAGGTTCCATCTTAATCACAAAAAAAAAAAAATGAATTTTTTCCCCCATATGACAAAATCTGGAGAGTAGCCATTTCTAAATTCTCAACGAAATCCACCGATTTCACAGAAACACCTAAGCATCGTCGGAATGAAACATGAAGCAAAAACAACCAAACACCAATTAGAATCCGAATCCAAATTTTCCGGGGAAATCCGCTAAATGAGATCTCATAGGGACTCAAAATGTTCCAGAAACTATAAGAACCCAAATGAATCAGGAAGAATACATGATGATCTCGCAAAGACCTAATCGGGAGAGAAAGGCGAACTCACCGGAAACGCGCAGAAGAAGCGGAGGTGCCCGCAAGAAAGAATTTCCAGAAGAAGAAGAAACAGGAAAAAGACGGTTTTATTCATCAATCAACCGTCTCGCGACAAAATCGGATAAGGAATGCGCATAACACAGAATATAAAAATAATTGCTTCTTTGGGGACAATAAAACGTGGACCTATACTACAATGGCGGTTCTGTCCAAGTTGAGATATTTTTTGGGAGAAGATATTTATAGAAAATATCTTGCGGCCCCACCAAAATATCTTCTGAAGACCCCCCAACAAAGAAGAAGAAAAATGACTGGGAGATAACAAAGGTTGAAGATGGTACCACCCAATGCACCCATTAATCTCGTTTAGCTCTTGAGCCTTGATTCTTGCGGCACGCCGTTCTCGGCCTCCCATTTGGGCGATTAGATTCATAAGCTGCAAATGGGGAATACGCACATCGAATGTTCATCACCAAGGAAAACATCATATAAAGGTGCTTCCTTTTTCACCTGTCCCTCCAGGCCCTGAATCTTTTCCGTCCTCTGCTTTGAGTGCCCTTTTCTCCCTGTATCTCGGAAAGTTCAAATCAGAGCAGACTTTCGTCTCAAGACAAGAACTTGCATTCCTCGTACCGTAAACACAAGAGCTTTATATTAGATTGTAGGATGAACATAAAATTATGAACCTTTGTCGACCATCCCCCAGGAGATGACCAGAAGCAGAGGCCGTTCTTAGAACAGCAGAGCAATCAAAAGTTAGGCAGTCAGACCGTTTCTCATACGAGATTCCGGACAATTTGATAGGGCTTCTTCATGGGTAAGAAGTTAAAATTACCTCCTGAAAGAAGGTCCATTTGATATCCCGAAACTGCTCAAACCCAGTGTAACACTAATACAAAACCATTACAGTGTCCTCTTGTCTGACAATAAAGAGATCTCTTTATTGTTCACGGGAGATAACCATTCTGGTTTTTTTTTTTTTATGTAAAATGCTACACAACCTTGCATGTGATATCACACATACTTAAACAGAAGTTGGAACTTGGGAGTCAACTGATTTCAGCACCTCCTCACCCATCTCCTTGCATCCCACCAGTTTCTGTTCATCATGCGTGCCATGTAAGAATCATATCATTCGAGAGAATCATCACATTTCGTCAAGACAAATTTTCTACACTTAATCTACAACACTTATATAAAAAAAGAGATAAAGGAGTTATACAGTTCCAGCAGAGTATATGTCGCCGGTTCTGAGCCCTTTGTTTAGAGCATCCAACACCGCATTCTCGATTCTCTTGGCAGCTTTTTCTTCCCCGAGTCCGTATTTCAGAAGCATCGCAGCACTGAGAATAGTTGCTAATGGGTTTGCTTTGTCCTGCAAATTCAAGAAAGTTGCATGTATTGCCCTGTCATTTTGGCCAGAAAATAGGTTTTCAGAGGGAAAATCTATCTTTTTTAGGGCAGAATTAGAACCTGCCCAGCAATATCGGGAGCAGATCCGTGTATGGGTTCAAAGAGTCCAGGTCCCTGAATTAGACAGAAGTTCAAATATAATAATGAAATGAAACTCGGTTGTGAATGTGATAATAAATGGTAAAACAAGAAGTTGATTGCACACTCGGATACCACATCCTTTTACATACCGATTCACCAAGACTAGCAGATGGAAGCATCCCGATACTTCCTGTGATCATTGAAGCTTCATCGGATAATATATCACCAAAGATGTTGTTTGTAACAATTGTGTCAAACTGCAATTTTCCAATGATCAGGCATCTCTTCGGATTTTATCATTCCTTTGTCAACAAGGCAGTTAACTCCAGTTAGGTTTCAAGAATGAAAATACCTGTTTCGGGTCACGGATAAGCTGCATTGAGGCATTATCAACATACATATGTGATAGCTCAACATCAGGATATTCAGAGGCTATTGTCGTTACTCGTTTCCTCCACAACATTGAGGCCTACGTGGAAAAAATCATATTTGACTCATTAGGGAAACGAGGATGGAAACAAGTCAAGGCACTTCTAATAGTCAACCATACCTCCAAAACATTGGCTTTGTCAACAGAGCACAGCTTGCCATGGCGCTTCCGGGCAGTCTCAAATGCAACACGAGCAATCCGATCGATCTGGGAAATATAAGCAGATCTTTATACATATAAGCAATCAGTAAAAACACTTTCTTAACAAAGAGAGAAAGATGATACTTCTCAAAACATTTAGAAACTAGAGTGTTAAGGAGAAAAGGTTTTCAAAATAGTAACTTTCAAACCCACAATTAAGGTGAGTGGAAAAATTGCAGCAAACTACTCAAAATGGTACCTCATGAGCAGCATAGACCTCGGTGTTAAAACCGACTTCCTCACCATTTTCGTTGGTGTTTATGCCTCTAGGCTTTCCAAAGTAAATACCTGTTTACACGAGGAAGCCACAATGAAGATACTTTCACACAAGAGAAGGAGAAGATCAAAGAGAAGGGAAAAAAAAGTTCTCGCTAGAGATGAGTTCAATCAGTGTTTTCCACTGACCTCCAGTAAGCTCCCTTACAACCATTAGATCAACACCTTCTGCCACCTCCTTCTTCAAGGTTGAAGCATCCACTAACTGAAAGAAAAATAATCTTACATTTCATAAACTGAAAAAGAAAGTTACAAGTCAAGACAACTGCTGAAATCAAAGATGCCATTGTTTGTGATTTAGCGGACAAAGCTTACCTGAGGCAAAACAGTAGCAGGTCTTAGATTTGCAAAAACTTTAAGACCCGCACGAAGTTGCAGTAGCCCGGTCTCAGGCTTCAGATTCTTTTCATTCTTATCCCACTTGTACCTGAAAACATAATGTTATAATCAAAACAGAGCATGTGTTTCATAAGGAATAATCACTGAAACAAGAAGTTAAAACCAATGGTCTAAGGAAATAAGCTATGAGACACACCCTCCGATAGCTCCAAGAAGCACTGCATCAGATTGCTTAGCAGCCGAAAGGGTTTCCTCCGGCAAGGGCACTCCTACCAAATCCAACGCAGCCCCTCCCATGGGCATCTCTCGAAAGCTAAATTCGATTCCTAATGTACAACGCAGACGACATGCATTGTTTCTTAGCAAAACCCCACTTAGATCACGAAAATGCCAAACACTTTTGTCAACAATTCTCCGAAATAAACCCACGATTATCTACAGATGCAGAAACACGAAGAGAACACAGTTCAAATATCCAGACCAAAGCTCGTAAGTTTCCAAACTTTCGTCCCTCTCTATGATAATTAAGAGTAGCAATTCGGCTTCCTAGCAGAGAACAGCAAACCCACAAATTCTCTGGCGTTCTCTCGGGAACAAATGATTGCAAAATCGAGAGGCAACTATAGAGTGAGGGGCGAGAGAGAGAGAGAACCTTCAAGCGAGCCAGCTTGGTGAAGCACATTCTTGGCGACGGAGATGACCTCGGGACCGATGCCGTCGCCGGGAAGGAGAGTGATGTTGTACCGTTTTGCCGGTGAAGCGGCGGCGCAAAGTACTCGACCCGTTTTACAAGACCTCTTCGCCACGGATCTGAACACGCATGGGACATTGATCGGCCTGATATTTGCCTGCAGAGCCGCCGCCATTTTTGTGCGACAGAGAAGAGGAAAGAGAGAGAGAGAGAGAGGGAGAGAGAAGTCAACACTAGGGTCACAGGCTCACAGTTCAGTCGGCAGTATCCTCTTTGTTTTTCCTGGGTTTCAATTTTCATATCTGAAACATTGGGGAAAAATTGAACATTTAAAAAATGTTTGAGGAGAAAAAAAAACAGAGCATTAAACACGTGAGATGTCAGTCTTATTTTACAGGGCTTGAATAGCTCGGCCCAAATTAAATATCATTCCGAACCGTAAGCCCAATACGTAAAACCGGATTCAAAATTCGCAAACCGGGTCGAAAAGCTTCGCACGTTGATTGCGGCCTTTTGACGAACCCTAAAATGCAACACTCACTTCTTACAGAAACGAGTGGAAGAAAGGGGAAGGTGAAAGGGATGCTCTCGTCGATTTCTTCTCCGCGATTCGGTCAGCTTCGAACTGTGTTTTCTTCCTCTGTTCGACTTCTATCAGTCAAACCCGTTTCAGAGTTTGATCCCAGGAGTTCTAAATTTCCAGTGGATCAATCTGATTTCGATCAGAAAACGGTATGCGAAGCGCTCACCTGTTACAGTAACGATTGGAAGAGAGCGATGGAGTTCTTCAACTGGGTCCAGACGGAATCTGGATTCACACACACCACCGAAACGTTCAATCGGATGATCGACATTCTGGGTAAGTTCTTCGAGTTCGAAACTTCATGGGATTTGATACACCGCATGTCCGAAAGTGCAATTTCAGTCCCAAATCACGTGACTTTTCGTATTATGTTTAAGCGTTACGCGATGGCTCATCTCGTTCAAGAGGCTCTAGATACGTTTTACAAGCTTGATGAATTCAATCTGAGAGATGAAACATCCTTTTGTAATCTCGTCGATGCGCTTTGCGAGTATAAGCACGTGGTTGAAGCAGAAGAGCTGTGTTTCGGGAAGAAGAAGAAGATTGATAATGGCCTTAATGTCAGAAAAACTAAGATTTATAATATGATTCTTCGCGGGTGGTCAAAGATGGGTTGGTGGGGTAAGTGCAGGGAGTTTTGGGAGAAAATGGACAACGATGGTGTTGCTAAGGACTTGTTCTCATATTCGATTTATATGGATATAGTGTGCAGGAGTCGAAAACCATGGAAAGCTGTGAATTTGTACAAGGAAATAAAGAGGAAAGGGATAAAACTGGATGCGGTGGTTTATAACACTGTTATCCGAGCAATTGGACTGTCACAGGGTGTAGACTTTGGCATCAGGGTGTTTCACGAGATGAGGGAATTGGGTTGTGAACCGAGCGTTGCGACGTATAATACGGTGATCAAGCTTCTCTGTGAAAATGGGAGGATGAAGGATGCATATGGGATGCTTAACGAAATGCCCAAGAGAGGCTGTTCCCCAAATTCCATTACTTACAACTGTTTCTTTCGTTGTATGGAGAAACCGAGAGAGATCCTTTATCTGTTTGATAGGATGATTGGCAGCGGTATTCGACCGAAAATGGATACTTATGTGATGCTTCTGAGGAAGTTTGAGAGGTGGGGCTTTCTTCGGCCAGCTTTATATGTGTGGAAGAAAATGAAAGAGTTAGGGGATACTCCTGATTCAGATGCGTATAATGCTCTGATCGATGCTTTGATTCAGAAAGGAATGTTGGATATGGCTAAGGATTACGAAGAGGAAATGATGGCGAAAGGGTTATCTCCAAGAAGAAGACCGGAGTTGGTAGATTCGTGTCCTGAAGAAAAACCAGTTTGTAGATAATTCGGACCTCTTCCAGGTATTTTTTTTCCACATATTAAGATAGTCTCCCAACTCAAGTTTCAGGGAGGTTCTGCTAGAGATCAAGCGTTCGCGTAAAAGGGTTTTCAAATCACGTCCTGTCCTGTCTGATTTAGACAGACTGCCATGGAAAATTCTGTCCAATCTATCTGGATCTGTTCTGTTGATAGTACGGTTGGTTATTTGTTCAGCAGACAAGAAAACGAAGCAGGGGAAGGAGCTTCCTTCTTGTCCTAAATCCGGCACTGACATTGAGAAACCTCCTCTGGTTGAAGAAACCATCATCCCTTCCATGTCCAAGATTTGCAAATCCTGTGTACATCTCAAGTGTCAGAGTCTTGACTCAAACTCGGGCTTGTCTTATGGCTCGAGAGGATGGTGTGAGTTTGCTTAGAGAGCAAGGCATATCCTCCTGAACGCGAAGAAGAGTCTGCAAACCTCTGGAACGGGACGAGAAAAGTAGAAAGTGCTCGTCATGGACGAGACGATGGAGGATGTCAACAGGTACTAGGACTGGAATTGGAAGGTCAGAGTCGGAAAACTAGTTGAAGCTCTATGGGCGTGTAGGGTTCATGGAAGCTTCTTGCCGTTGCTATTGATATATCACTTGCAGGTGGCAGATGCTTTCTTTTGGCGTGGAGCTCAATCCTCAATGAGGTTGATTCGCTTGAGATGACTATGAAGTGAACTGAAGTAATGGAATTTGTTCTTTACAGATTACAATGGTTACGAAAATGTATAGAAATGTTGATTCAACTTCTCCATGTGATTCTAAATGGAATCTTCGTTTATAATATTTCTTTTTTCCCTTCAATTTTTTTTTTCTTTGAAATAGAAACAAAAATATCAAACCCGGCAAAAAAAATCATGATATTTTGGGAATTAGAGAATTACCCCCCCCCCCCCCAAGAAAGGCCTTGTCATGTCAAATTTGCAACAGGCGATCGATCAAAACGGATATACGATCTGCAAACGTTCTCGGTGACGTAAAACCCTAGTCTCGCTGCTCTTCAGGTGCTGATCTCTCTTCCCCCCAAACTTCCGAACTCGATTCCTTGAACCCGGATCGCGAAATTTGTTTTCTTTATATTCTCCGTTCGATGTGACAGTTCTCGAATTCCGTTTCTTGTTTTCTGTGTCTGACACGGTGTTTCCTTTCTTCTTCTTCTGGATTCAGCTTCGTGTTGTTTTATGTGTATGTGTTCTTGTGAATGTAGCATACTTTTTGATGGTTTGGAGGCCTCCAGTTCTGGATAGAGCGAGGGATGACGATCATAATTGGAGGGTTCGTCTCCCACCTGGATCACGCCTCACCATCGTTACCAGAATGTATATATTTCTGTTAGCTTTCTGTTCTTTGTCTCTGTCAAGTCTAGATCTTTGCTCACGCCCCTCTGCGTTTTTCTTGATCCACCTTTCCCTAGAGAATGAAACATTCAAAAGTTTCCTTCTCTACACGATGGTCGTTCCTATGCAAGTTTATGTTATGATGTTGCACTTTCTTGATGTCATATTTGCAGAGCGGAAACGATAGATAGGTGCATTTCGTTCTCTGTGCCAGTTAATGAATTGAGGAGAATTGCAGCTAGATTCGAGGAAAGGGTTTACAGGAACGCTGTTGATCAGGTAATATATATACAATATACAATGTCCTTTGAACATCTCTTTTCTTGAATTCGTGCGATGAAACCGAGTTTTCAGAGGCATTGGAATCCGCATGTACCCCCTCCTCCTCCCTCCTTCCATAGATTGTGAAAGAAGAGATTGTTGGTGATAATCGAGCTTTATCTTGCAAATCTTGCAAAATGCAGGTTTTGGATTTTGGGATTGACCCAATTCTAACTTTCCCGTGGTTGACGTTCAACCACGACGACTTCTGATCAAACTTCATCCCTTGATCCAATGTGTTTCAGATTGATTACCTTCGGATAATAGCCACAAGGATGGTGATTATGGAGACAAAGTACCTGAGTTCTGCAGACAGCTGTGCACCCTCCAAATCTTGATGTAAAATTGGAATGGTTACTTGTATAAGGGGTTAATCTCCTAAACCCTTAAAGCTCTTTTTTTTATCTTGAAATGTTGGTGGCATATTTGAAGTGTTTTGAGTATTGTTTGTTACATGATCCTAAAGGAGGAGGGTCAAGCTAATAATGGTGAGAGAGACATGTTGGGAAATAACCACAAGTCAATGCTTAAAAAAGAAAATAAATAAATGAGGAATTTGGGTTTGCATTTTTGTGAGATGGTAATGTAACTGTATATGGAACATTTTACTGTATTTTCTTGAATCCTTTTTATGTTCCAATCCAATCCAATCTTACTTCTTATTATGTTTAATTTTTCTTAATCCGAGTTTTCTAATATTTTAAGTGAATATGAAAAACATTTAAAAAAACTGTGGTAAAATGAATTTTTTAAATTAATGTTTAATTAGTCCCGAAACAAATATAAAAATTGAAAAAGTATATCTTTTTAATAGCTGATATGAATTTGATGCATGATAATTAATCAATTTAGATCCATATTTTTTTAAAAAATTTCAATCGAAATCATAGTTACCTGCAAATTGGTATGGTAAAACACAAACCAAATAATATAATAAGCAAAACTTTAAGGATTTGAATGGAGATGGATTTTGAGTTTTTGGTTTTTAATTTTTGGATTTTGGATTTTATAATATTTATAATCCAAAAAATATAGTTTAAAATTTTTCTTGATTTTTTTCATCAAATTTTTAGTAAAAATAATTTGACAAAAATTTTAAATGCTTCGGCAACCATATACAGACACGCAGCTCTATCTCGGTAGCTGAAAAAGAATGGAATATGATAATATTATCTTTTGAGGACGCGCTTTAATATAAATGGGAGAATCTGTTGGGTTAATAATAATATGATTTTTTATTGCATACATTTCCTCTGCTTTTGTTTGTTTATCTTGTCTTGTCCCCGCGGGATCTGACTTTCCCCATTTCTTCGATCCTGGAAAACCCTAGTTCTCAGTCGAATTCGCCCCTTTTTTCTGGTTGTTGCTTCTCTCTCTCCGTTCGTCACAGCTTGGATCCTCGGAAGCGTGCGGAATTTTGTCCGTTGGGTTCTAAGTTTTGAGGTGAATTTCTGGAATTTTGTATCTTGCAATCTGCATGTTGGCCTCGTTTTTTTTAGCTGGATTGAGATTGAGGAACATGCTGCTTTGTTGTGGTCGAAATTATATGCGGACTTGCTTCGCTTTGTTTTGTCGGCCAAATCCATCTGCGGGATTTATTGCTTGTCCGGCGGATTTTCTGTCCAAGGAGGATAAAGGAACCTTTTTTTATGACACGGAGTAGTAATTTCTTGTCTGTTTTCCTGGATTTTTGTGTCAATCAAGGATGAGGTTTTCTTAGGTTTTGTTTATGCTATGGATAAAGGGCGAGGCTAGTTTTTTTGTTAAAGGTTGTTTGTATATTGATCAAGATTTTGCGTGATTACAAAGTTAACCACTACTGGTGGTAATCTGTGTTACCTCGGAAGGTTAGGTGTACAAAAGTGAGTTATCAAAGTTAAAGGGTGAGGCTAGTTGCTGTTAAAAAATGATGTATTTGTTGTGCAATTGAACAAAGGAGGTTTTAATAGACTCATTAATCAGGTCTTTTGCATTCCTCCATGTTTACATCCATCTCATTTGAGGGCTTTTATGATTGATTCTGTTATGCTGTCGGTATGAGCCTTGTCTCAAGCTATGTTCTGTAGAGGGGGGGGGGGGGG